GCGGTTCGGGTGGTAGGTACCGTTCGCTCCACTTCGTAAACTTCCTTGACTTTATTTTTAGGCGCAGTCCAGACTTGAAAAGTATGATACCCTGTTTCATCCTCCTCGGTGTCCTCTTCCTCACCCTGATCCTGAGTTTGGTTTGGTTCGTCCGGTTCGTACTCAATTTCATTGTTCCCTACTTCTCTCATAAAACTGTCCTCCTGTTGACTGTCAGTGTCATAATCCGCTGTTGACTCACCTTCTTCCTTGTTTAGTTCCTCCGTGCTGTCATCCTCAAAATGGCCATGGTCTGGGTCAGTCTCCTCATCAGAACTCTCCTGCGGCTGCTGATGCCTTTTACTATTCCAATAGAACCCCATCACTTGTTTTTCCATGGCCGTTCCCAAGTCTTGAAGTATCGGCGCACGGGACCAAAACATGCTGACGGGTCATCCTTGCCGTTCCGCCGCTTGAGCTAGTGATTCATCTCGCTGCCGTATAATGGGAGCTCCATCCCGCATTGTAAGGCGGCCAGTTTCCAGGTGCCGTCGTACTACGCCTCGGTCTGATAACGCGGATATTGCTGCGCAATTGTTAATTCTGTGGTCTGTTTTCCCACATCCAAAACAGGCCGGATTAAAGGGACGCTCTCCTTGAGCAATGTTGTTTGGATAGGTAGCGGGGCTCGCCGCTTCGACATTCCAGGCTGGTCGCGATGGTAAGTCCATATGGGGGGGGATTTGCCGCTGGGTTGAAGGGCCAATCTCTTGTATTTTTAGTGGTTCACGATGAATACATTGGGCCACTAGCGGATCCATTTTGATAGCTTTGTAGTACACCGCCCCATAATGCGGGTCCCGTATATTCATGGTGTTGAGCTTTTCGATGATCTCCTCAACATTGTTGGTGCCTTTGTTGATTTTTGTAGCTCGTTCGAAGTCTCGAGTCACTTCCAGTTCCCCTCTCCTTTTGGCATGCTTGTCCTTGCGAAGATCCTTGCCCTTCCGGCGGCTCTTTTTCTGTTCCAATTTTTCCTTAAACTTCTTCTTCCATTTCTTAGTGCTTTCATCTTCGCTTTCGCTGGCTTCAGTCGATGACTCGCTGCTTGAAGGGCTGCTATCAGATTCTGACGAATCACTTGCTAATTCGTTGACTCCGTAATATCCATAATCTCGTGCATCCAGGAGGTTTGCCGGGAATTGATCTCTTTTAAAGTATTCTTCTGCGGCCGCTTTGACGTGCTCCATTGCAGGGGCCTTCGCTGTATCCCGATTCGGATGTTGAACTCTGATTATTGCGTTGAGTTCTTTTCTCAGACTGACATGAATACCTAACCAAAAATAACCTGCAATTTTGTCTTCCTCCATTTTATTCTTCCCCATATTCCCAGCGATGGCTTTGTACTTTCGATAGTAGGTTTTCCATTGCCCCAGCGTGTGGGCAGCTTTCCGGGCACTACGGCGTGTGAAGGCAGACAAATCCGCGGGTAGATACCTCTGATCCACTTTCTCCGCGTCATAATAATTGCGTATCTCTTCCCGTAGATTAGTCCAGTTTGGCTTTATATAATGTTCTTCCAATTTTATATATTCTGCCACTTTGGTGGAGCAATAATCTATAATTAGCTCACACTGCTCTTTTGGGTCGGTTACATGGCATTTCCGAAGAAGTTTGTCGTAATGTCGTAAAAACGCGTCCACCTCTGAGTATTTCCCCTTAAAGGTCTTAGGTGCTTCCTTTGAACGCCTTAAGGGCATATCAAGCGAAGATTTTACAAGTGTAGTCATTCTGGTAGGCTGCTGAGGTTCGTTGTCAGTTGAAGATGGCGAAGGTCGGGTTCAGTATCAGACGGTGTGGAAAGTAAGGAAAAACGATTATTTGATGACTCAGTCCTGGACGGTGGGTGGTTCACTGAGTACGGGAACTGACAACTGCCTAGTAAGGCTTCTTGTTCTAAATCGGTCTGATCGGGGGTCGGGAAGGTGTATGTTTGTGAACTTGTTGCTTCTAGTTGATCCGGTGGTGTTACTGTTCCTTGTTGGTGGCGTCGGATTTCTTTTACTTGTGATTGGGTGGTCTTTCTGTCTTTTGATTCTCTGTGGGTGTTCCCGTACATTCACCCCTTCCGGGAAATAATTCTGGATTCTAGTGTGTATAATAAAGGAAAAATAAAGACCCTCGCGGTGGGCTCCACTTATGTCAACTACTAAAAGTTATGTAGTAGGAAAGTTTGAACTGGAATATTGTTATCCAAGTACTTCCAGGTGGTTCGTATTTTTCCAAAGTAATGTGTACTAGTTTTTATACCAAGAATTAAATTGCTCCGGTAAACTAAACGTAGTTAATTGGGGAAATGGAAGGGCTTAGTTCTATCGGAGAACTATCGGTAGGATTTGGCAGGAACTTAGTCAGTAGTCGTAGCGCTGATCACCAATCACAGCGGTCTTGCGTGGATGGAATGTCGGTATTCCCAGTGTCTTTATGTAATCAATTGGTCGGTATTCGGCGGTTTCAGGCAGTCAGTCGGCGTATTCTTGCTTATCGTTGATTATTCGGCAGTAGTTGAGGCACACAGTATTTCTTGAGAGTAAACTTAGGAGGCTGCGACAATAAAAGTTGTCGTTGGCAGAGGGAAATTGAAAGGGGAAAAGTCCCTTTTTATTGATGGGAGGTCACTTCTTATATACTCTTTTCTAAATGCTATTTTAACTACTTGAATCAAACGTTTGGAGGAAGCCGTAATTTATCAAACTTCCTCTGACACTGTTGTGGATTTGATCTGACTTCTTTGTGCTCCATGCCTGATGCTTCCTTTTTGACCTAACGATGGCTTTGTTCTGACTCTGCTTGTTTAGGGTTCTTGAGTTGGCATCGTTCGGTCCATTTGATCCGGGCAAAATCACGTGCTTTGATAAAAATAAAGATCCGGAATTTCCCGGTCTAAAGGGTGAGTTGGTCCTATTGCTTATTTGCTATGTTCTGACTCCCATTTAATTGGGAGGCTGACAGTGTTCCGACCCCCGTAGACCCAGGGTGTGTCTACAGGTGTAGCCAAACCCATAGACACAGATTTGTGTCTACATGTGGCTACGTCTGTAGCCGCAGTATGTCTACCTCCATCAACCTCTGGCTACCTGGGTCTACCTGGGTCCGGGCCGTAGACCAAGGTGGGTTTGGGTTTGTCATCTGCTATTAGGCCATAAATCGATTCCGACATTCTTGTTTTATGATCACAATTGACGGAAGATCAACTGAACATTACACCGGCTTCTACTGGGTCGTATTTACAGTTATTTCTTCGCGATTCAGAGGTTCCCTGGTTCCGAGATCGGACAACGTCGTGAGGGCCTACCAGGATACTGGAGGCCGCAAAAAGCCATATACTGTACACATTGTTAAGCTCTTAAAAGCCGAACCAGGTTGGTCAATGATAGGTAGGCCCAGGTAGCCCAAGGTAGCCCAAGGTAAACTGATGTAAGTAAACCCTTCCAGAACACGCCATCAGCGTGGCGCGTGTTTGCCGCCATCGCCGGTCACCAGAGCCCGCGTTTCAATGGTGATCGGATCACTGATCGCGACTTCCGCAGCACCTGCTGCGGTCACTCCGCCTACAGGCTACACCTTGAACTTTGAAGCTCGAAGAACAGTGTCCAGTCCGCGTCATCACGGACAGCGGTGACTGCGCCTATGCCGCTTGAGGCACGTTTTGTCGCTCTCTCATTCAGCGCTCGACTTCATAGCGGAAGTATTGCGGACGTACATCGCCTGCCACTTTCGATGAACAGATATTCGGTGACATGGCTACTTCTGTACTCCCGGCATCATCACGCGAAGGTTCTCGGAGGTGTGGGACGCCAAGGGCAGGCACTATTTAAACAGTGCTTGCAATCCCGGTCCAACAATACACCTCAAACTCCCATCTACCCATGCCTGAAACCCTCAGCATCGCAGTCTGTGTCTCGGACGAGGTCACCCTCTCGGACTTCATCACCCCGATGGAGATCCTTGCCAGCCTGAACGACGCGGACGACCCCGTCTTTGGCGCTGGCATGCCAGAGGTCTCCCACCGCGTCACCATCGATTATGTCGCGCCCACCATGGACCCAGTCGTGGCCCTTAAGGGGCGCCTCTCGCCGAGTTTGAATCCCACACTCACCTACGCGGATGCCCTCGCCTCCGGGAAGCAATTCGACGTCCTCTGGGTCCCCGCAGGTGCGCGGAGATAACATCTTGCCCGTTCATCATTGTATCGAACGCGATCACCACATAGGCCCGATGTCGGACTACACCACGGGAAAAAGCGGCATCCCCAAGGATGAGATCGCGTTCATCGCGCAGCAGGCACCGAAGGCGAAGTACATCATGTCCGTGTGCGCCGGCGCCGTTCAACTCGCGTTGGCCGGTGTCCTCTCGGGAAAGCGCGCAACGACAAACAAGGCGTTCTATCGCATGATAGTGGTGCGTTTCTCTCTCAACATTCTGGAACAGCTGATGATTAAACCTACTTCGTTTATAGGCCGCCATGCCCAAGGATATACAATGGGTGCCCCAGGCGCGCTGGGTCGTCGACGGGAACGTGTGGACTAGCTCCGGCGTCGCTGCAGGTGCGCGCCTTCTTCGCCAACCGTAACATTATTTTTGGCTAACGTAAATGTTGAGGGTCCGACATGGCGCTTGCGTTCGTGGAACACCTCGTAGGCGCGAAGGTTGCGCGTATCATTCGGGGCGTCAGCGAGATCCCCGAGGTCACGGAGAAGGACGATCCGTTTGCGACGTTCCACGGGCTCGTTTAGGGATCGCGGATAAATTCAGGGCTTCTCCGTGGAATAAATTTAACCTGGTTGAGAAAGGGAAGAAAGGAGAACGCAGGCTAGCAAGTGAATATTCTGAGATGCCATCTTGTACAATTTTCACCAAGTTCTTTCACTTTCTTACAACCAGCCTCAAGAATAACAGAACCAACGTTGAAGCCTTCAAGTTCAACCTCTAGATCTCTTCGAAATCCGATCGACGAAGAAGGCTTGATAGCACAATGGCTACTGCGTCTGCTTTGAATTTACGCTTCTTGTGATATCTTCAGCAGAAGATCCTTGTTCGACTCAGGGTCGGGTCATTTTTGTGTGGACTTTTTATTTAAAGTTTGTTTTGTCGGTTTGCCGAGAATGTCAGTTGGTTTCACTTTCAAAGGTAGGCGTCAATGGCTAGTGCATCTGTTAGTAATGACGCGAAACAGATTGAAGTTTAGCAGAAGAACCCCTTTCAATTCGGGATAAGGCCGTCCCCAAGTCCCAGTTCTTTCTTTTCATTTCTTTATTTTAGCGGCTTCGTGGGGAAAGCGCAAAGTAGTTCTTTTCAATGGGAAGGTGAGGAATGGTTGAAGCACCTGAGTAAACCATGAAGGACGGGAGACCCCAGTTCCCACTGTGACAAGCTCATTGAAAATAAAGTGGCTCTGATTCAGAGCATCCCAGCTTCGCAATTTTTACGCAGGGAAAGTTAAACCCAGGCTAGCGGCTTGTTCGCCTTGTTTGCTGGAGTAACACTATCTTTCTGCTGATAGTTACATGTAAGCTAGAATAATAGCTCGTTTAGCAACGAAGTTCGGGGAGGTAGGGTAAGTACATTGTGGCAACGTCGAAGTAGCGCAGTACAATATTATGCTGGCGACGTCTGGTCAAGAAATTCAGGTCTCTTAGGGAGATCAACAAAAAAAGAGGCCGAACGATATCCCGATTCGAGCATCAAGTGGGAAATGCGCTGATGATACCCACACTCGCGACGCGTCTAGAACCTGAGCTCCGACTGCGACAAAACGGCATCTACAACACCCGAATCAGCTTTGAGAACGATGGCCATTTACAACAATACGAGCCTTAGACGTGTTCAAAACGCTCAATTTCCTTCATACACTTCCGGACCATCCTACTCGGATCCACGAGCAGCTCTTTGAACGCCGTAGGCCCCTCGGTATCCGTCTCCCCCGGTGCAGCTGCGCGTTGGTGTCCATTTACCCCCCATTTGTACAGCGGCGTCCGGGTGCCGTCCGGATGGATCAAACCGAGCACATGTTGGCCTTTGAGTCCGGAGAGCATGAAGTGATGTTTCTCCGCGTAGGTCAACCAACCGGCCGGGAATTTTGCTGCCTTCAACTCGGCGTTTGAGATGGAGCGCGGAAGGGTCAGATGCGAGCCATGGAAGTGGATGATGCCGCGGTTAACGTGCGTGATATACCGATGGAGGTCAAAACCCGGGGGAAGGGGCGTGCGGCCTAGCTCCGTCATGGATATCTGCCACATTTGCGTCTTGTCAGGCTCGATGCAGCTGACGATGATCCTGCAGAACAACTTCCTGGTATGTTTGTCGACGGGGGTATTACCGTCGCTCCATTCCCATTGTGGGTCCTCATCTCATCAGAGATTGGCCGGGGAAGCAACCGGATACTTTGGATTATGAACCGCCGGTTGTCATTCTTGGAGTTCTCGGCGCGTTCGTCGTCCACCATGCGCAGACCAATGTATATATTGTAGTCTCTTCCGAGGGACGCGTTTTTTAGGACCACGGCGGCAATGATGAAGTGGTTGAACGAGTTCAGGAAGTTCCTGTGAAGGAATATGGACAATGAGACTGCGCAGGTTGCTGAATGCGCGCACCACTCGACCATTTTCTTTGCGTCGCTCAGTGTAGGATCATTGAACGTCCTCAGGGAATTTGTTTCAGTCCACATGTCAGATAAAATGCCGCAGAGCTTCAAACGCACCCCGGACCCAACGACTTGGCGAAGCCCATCGACAATGTGCGATCGGCTTCAAAGAGGTGGCATCGCCGTTTGTGGCCGGCGCTCCAGTCTTTTTTTCTGGCATTCCGTCTGATAGGCGGGGAGCGATCAGCACCAGCACGCTGTCAAGTCGAACAGCTTTTACTGAGCAGTATTTCGCCAGGAGACACCCGGAGCACGCGCGCAACGGGCCCTGGGGTGATTCGAGGGTGTCGCAGGCATCACATGCGGGCTGCCAGGCGTTCCAGAGGAGCGTGCCTTGATAGGTATACTTGGTTTTCGGGGCAGAGTCTGGGGGCATGAGAGATTTTGCCCGTACGAGGTTTGAAAGAAGATAGGAAAAAGGAAGCCGCTCACAGGAGTTCCTGTTACGCGTACAACCTTCTTCGAACTAAACAAAGCTCGAACAAGCAAAGTTCGAACCAAGTTGAGGACTTTCTGTTCGATTCCTGATAACAAGATTGACCTTTTGCAGTGCTCGGGGGAAAAAAATCCGAAAAGCTCGAAAGATCCTGCCGTGCCGATTTTAGCAATGAAAATCCTGATCCCGCAAGAGAACTCGCTGGGCAGGCATCTCCCTAGCCAAGTCGACGTCGCATTCATCTCAGAGCCCCCAGTGCCTGCAGTGCCTGCCGGGGTCATGTGCGCACCGCCTGGTCAGAGGTATGTCAAAGGCGGTTTCGGGAAGCTGGACTCCCCAATCGTGGATGCTTGCGAAATCCGTTGAACACCTAAGATTCGACATAGAAGACTTGTCCTTCAACTCGACGAAGAGATTCCTCGTAAATAGATTATCCAAAGAGATTTTTTACATTGGTCCCGACACGTAGTGGTGGCATACAGTGTCTTGAGATTCGTTGCGTTTTAAACGGCCACGCCAGTGTAGGAACCAGCGGCCAGCTCAAAGTCCGCGACCTGGACGCTACCGCCGAGGGACAATGTTGCGAAGTTGAAAATGGCGAAGCTGTCGTATACATGTGTTAATTTTTTCTTATTTTGCTCACTGCAACATAGCTTACCGCTGGCCCTCAAAGAACTGCCAGTTCGTGTCGGTAGAAAAGCTAGGCCCCAATTGCTTGAAAGTCTCGCCGTCTGTCGAGTACCAGAACGTGCCCGAGTCGCCCGACCCCGTCGAGTCAGAGATGATGCGGAACCACACGGTGGAGCCTGTCACCGCCGCGCTATCGGCCGTCGCACCCGTGTTCGTAGTGACCCAGGAGGTGTTCATGGTGATGTTGTTCACCATGTTGACGGTGAAGGCGCTGCCGCTCCGCCACACACCGATGTACGCGCTGATATCACGGAGCAGCCCGAGGCCTGCACGGTCTCCGTCCTCCATTCCACTGAAATTGAGTTTAATTGTCGCGGTGGAGACGGGGCCCAGTTGGCGGTGCGTGAGCGTGTTGCGGGCAGCATACCAGTCAGTTGTGATCTGCATCGGTTGAGCTTTATGACGACGATTGATGACCTGAGAGATAATGGACGTACCGTCGCCGTCCTCAGCGTAAGACCGTCGTTGACGGTGAAGTTTGTGGTGTCGGGGTCGTGGTTCCTGTGAAGGGTGAGCATACCTACAGGCACGGATAAATAATTACAACTAACCACTCCCACTGCACTCCCAGAGAAGTTCCCGCAAACCTGTCGACGCCGGTCAAATTGTTGGTGACAGGGCGCGGTGTCAACGTGTCTGGGTAAGACGCAGCGACCTGGCCGCTGGAGAGCTGCACAACATTTTGATCAGCTTGCTAATTAACACCCCGTATGCGGGATTTACCGTAGGAATCGGCCAACCGTCACTTGACCTGACCAATGAAACTTGAGCAGGAGTGGATTGTAGTTGAATAAATTCCTGGCATACCATGTTACGGGGAGGAGACACGGAATACTTTTTAAAAAAAAGAAAGCCATCAGCATGGTAAGCACTCATCGAACAGCGGGATAATGTACCGCCCATTCGGGTACGACGACAAGGAGAATCCCATCCAGTAGTAATCACCATTCTGAGTCTGAACCATTGCACCCTGACCTATGTCACCGGTCAACGGCGAGGGCGGAGGTATGCTCTTTAGGAAAGAGTTCATCTGCCAAGAGGTGCTGAAGATGGTGGTTGCCTTCAGGACGTACTCAGAGCTCGTGTCCTGTAAAACACTCCGTATCCAATCGCGCGTATACGAGAAGAGAACATACCGGGAAAGAGCTGAAGATGTAATATTCCCCGTTGATCTTGTAGGGACGTGTGCCCTCCATTGAGGCTAAATAAATGAGCGGGGTGTATCAGATCCAACCTTGTAAAGGAAATCACGGCCGAACGCACTCATGTTGGACGGAGGAGTGAACACCACCTGCGTCTTAATTGACGTAGTCATATTGGCAGACATCTGCGAAATCCTGGGAATTTGGTGTGCAACACAGCGGTACATAGAATAAGAAAAACCTACCAGATCATGCCCTGGTCCTTGAAAGAGACGTATACAGTGCCGTCGTCGTCCATGAATGCGCCAGAATCGTAGTAACACTACGCAGTGGTCAGAAGCCTATTCGAATAGAACGCTGAACAACCATGCTTACCTGGTTAATGATAGAAATCTGAGACCAAGGGCCGGTAGGGTCAGAGCCAGATGAAGAGAAGATGTGAGTCTGGAAGAAGCTGAAAGATCATAACGAGGTTAGAAAATATTCAAGAGGCTCCTTTGTATGACTGAATGAGCCTTACTTGATACAGCCTCCCCAGAACCACTTGTTCTGCGACGGAACGAATATCAGCCACGACGCCCAAACACCTTGAACGTACGCGTTCTGTCCGGGAGGAAGGGTATATCCCGGACCGAACTGCGCCAGCTGAGGTACGCTATGCCCGATGTACTCCCAGTTCGCGAGGTCGAAGGAGCGGAGAATGGGAGCACCAGGACTGAAGTGCATGGTTGACGTGCTCATGTAGTAAGTGTCATTGTAGCGGCGGACATCGACATCAGCCTAGACAGAGCGATTCAGAGACCGATGATCTCGAAGTAGAATGATTGTATCTGACCAAATCCTCGTAGATGACTGGGTTATTGAACGCGAATGTCCATGGGAATAACGCCAAGGCACTTGCAAGAGCGGAGACGAGTCTCATTGGTTCAGGCAACCGACAGGAATGTTGGCGAGTCAAGTGCGAGAGCTGGATTTATACCGCGGCAAATGGTCGGACGTCCGGAACTGTCGGGAAATAGCCGGAGGAGGAGAAGGAGGGCATGTTACCCCGCAGTGGCCCCTACGAGGAGTAAAAGAATCGCGATGAGATTCTTTTTCGGCGGCCGTACGAGGTGGCGTGCGCAGGTTGGAGTGGAGCTTGGTCT